GAGAACTGGCAGCAGAAATTTTGAGTAGTTCAGAGAACTGGTAAATACCAACTCTTACTGGCCCCATTCTCTGAGTCCCAGCTGATGGGGAGGGAATGGGGATTTTGCAGTATCCTTTCCCTGCAGTGGCAGGGAATGGATATTTTACAGTATCCTTCCCCTGGAGTAAGGAAGGAATGGAGATTTTACAACCCACCAAGCCACGCCCACAGAACCGGTAGTAAAAAGGTTTGAATCCCACCACTGGATGAAGACCAATAAATTAAAAGTTATGAAACTTGATAAGTGAGTCATTTGCTTAGATTAACAGTTGGAGATGATAGAAGTCTTTCTAAAGAAAATTCAACAACTAATGACCTTCTACGTCACTAATTCCAACTTCTACCAATATGGCCAGTATCAAAACAGATGAGAATTGTCCTGCAGTTCAGAGAAGATATATATAATTTGAAAAAAGTTCTGGTAAGATTTTCATACTAGACAACCCGAAGAGGAAAACTATGATTCACCCTAGAATATCCCATTTGATTTCATTGTGTTATGTTGGATCAAGCATTTAAAGAAACGGTTTATCTTGTAGCAATAGCAATAGCAGTTAGACTTATATACCGCTTCATAGGGCTTTCAGCCCTCTCTAAGCGGTTTACAGAGTCGGCATATCGCCCCCACAGTCTGGGTCCTCATTTCACCCACCTCGGAAGGATGGAAGGCTGAGTCAACCTTGAGCCGGTGAGATTAGAACCGCTGAACTGCAGATAGCAGTCAGCTGAAGTGGCCTGCAGTACTGCACCCTAACCACTGCGCCACCTCGGCTCCTACAATCGTGTGTTCATTTATCTTTTACGTATTTGGAAATGGATGAGAAATGAATCAGTCATTCTTCTGAAATGACTTTTTCTTCAGTGGGGAATTCAGCATAGAATGTATCGCCTAACAATTATGCTGATTCACAGCATTCAATGCTCCTAAAATTTAACTAGATGTTGGGACAGATGAAATGTCGCTCCAACCCTGAAACAGTTCCTCTGAGGTTTAAACCCTACTCAAATTTAGGGGGACTGCTGGGACCTGTATAACTTACACTTTTGAACCATTAGCACCTTCGTATCTCTTCTACCACAGGTTTGGGCCTGATCCCACAGAGACAGAAAGCATCCTGGTTTCTCTGGAAAACTAGCATAGAAAATTTCTCAGTCCTCTCAACAATATCCAAATCATAATTATATTATCCTTGTTTGGCCTTCAGAATTTGAGAAGACATTTTGTCCTTGATATTTGCCAGTCTTGGCAATAAAAGAGCCAGGAGAACTGGAAGTGGATATGAATCTTCCACACTTGCAAGCTTATTTTGCCTTGAATTTACTGGCTCAAGATGTCTTATTAGTACATTGTTATTTTCTTAATACTTTAGAAGTAAGAAGTAATGTACGTGTTTTTGAAAGCATATCAGGGGTGGGTTTCAAAAAAATTTGGAACCTACTCTGTGGGTGTGGCCTCCTTTATGGGAGTGGCTTGCTGGCCATGTGACCTGGTGGGAGTGGCTTGCCGGCCATGTGTTCTCTCTCTCTCTCTCTCTCTTTCCTTCCTTTTGTCTCTCTGTCCCTTTTTCTTTTTTTCTTTCATCTCTCTCACTCTTTTTCTTTCTTTTTTCTTTTATTTATTTCTTCCTTTCTTTCTCTTTCTCTCTCTCTCTGTGTCAGTCTGTCTGTGTGTGTGTCAGTGGTGGGTTTCAAAAATTTTTGGAACCTCTTCTGTAGGTGTGGCCTGCTTTCCGGGTCCACTGGTGGAACCTCTTCGAACCGGTTCGGGGATTTGACGAACCGGTTCTACCGAACTGGTGCGAACTGGTAGGAACCCAACTCTGAAGCATATGCATTAAAGTTCTTAATGTCTTACTCCAAGTTAAAAAGAAAGTCGATATCTATCTAGTGAAATCCATGCCATGATTTTTAAAAATCATATTCTATAGTAACTGTGCTTTCCACCGCAAGCATAAACCATTGGGTCAAAAATGATTATATATAAGTGGGTCTGATTAAGAGTGGAACAGGGTAATGCTAAATAAGGGTGGGGAGAGCATAGCTAAAATCTGCTGGTCCTACCAGCTGTTCATTTAAAGAAATCTAGACTGGCGCTATGAAAAGATAAATATATTTATATGGAAGAACAGACTGTCCTTAAACTAAATGCGTATTTTGGCTAGCTTATATAAACATCACCTGTTATGATTCCAAACAACAATCCAAACCCAAAGGCCTTAATCATATTCTACCTATCCAAAAAATAAGTTGAAGTAGTTCTGTAAAATGTACGGAGGGGAGATACATTCTGGTATGTCATTCAGAGAAATGCAAAAAATGCAGAAACAATCTTCTTCTGCAGAGTCACAGACTGTATCATCGGATGCACCTTCAGTTTATATCAATGACATCCTATGCTTCACTACAACTTCCCAATAATCTTCCGAGAAAAATTAGGAAGACTGAATGCTGGCTGGGGAATTCTGGGAGTTGAAGTCCAGACGTCTTCAAGTTGCCAAGGTTGAGAAACACTGATTTAGATGCATCCTGCATTAATACCTGGTTTGCACTATTAATTCTGCTTTTAACTTAATAAAAACATAAAGTTAGATTATTTCTAAATTAGCAATAGCAGTAGACTTAACAAGTAGACTTAAATTAACAAGCAAGCAATGTTCACAAGATACAAATCGGGTCCTAGCTGCAATTTTACCTTTTCATTCCATTTGTTGGACGATGTTTCCCTTTTATCTGAGAACATCTGCATTCTGAAACAACTTTCTGACTCATCTTTTTTCAAACTACCAACAACTCCGAGGTTCTTACAAGGAGCTTCTTTCCTGCATATCGGATCAGTGAGCGTACAAGTCTTCAATTCCCCTTCCAAAGAACCAACATGTTGGTGAACTTCTAGGATCACTTGTTCAACTTCTTCTAATCTTGGTTTATGATGCTCAGCATTCTTCACCATCTCGGAGAACTTCTTTTTAATGTCTGTGCGTACCAGCTTCATATCATTAACTTTTTTGACGTGGCAGCTGGTGGTGTCCTGCCAGTTTCTTCCATTTTCCTTCAAGAGTTCAATATTCCTTTCCATAGATCAGATTTCTTGGGGAAGCACAATCTAATCTATGGAGAAAGTTGCCAGCAATGCATAAATTTCCTTATTGAAGGAAGCCTTCAGGCTCAACATACAGCTATCTTCAGGAGAGCAGATGAAGCCTTGATGAAGACAGTAGAAAAGTGTTCCTCTTCATGAGACATGTTGATTCTGTAAAGTGTTGGGATCAAAAAGATTTCCCCAAGGATTTTACCACTGATGAAGAAGTCTTCTTTCTGGTGGCGGTAGACATTATGTCTATTTATATCAAGGCATTAGAAGCTAAAAGAAAACAACGACCTCCAGAAGCTTTCTAAAAGACGGAGACCCGATGTAATAGATCAAATTCGATCTATTAAAAGAAGATGTCATGACTTGGACAGACAATTTGAGTTCTTATGAAAAATGCCTATTTCTTTTTTTAAGTATTCCTGAGAAAGTTTCGCAATGTTCAGGTGGACATTTGCCACGCAATGGCCATCAGTTCTTGGGGAAGTCAGAAGAAATATTTGTACTTGTGGAATCCGACTTCACAAAGGCTGTTAGACATCCGAGAAGGGAAGGACACTTTAGCAACTATTTATGACCAATATACGCCTAGTATCCAGCTTGATCAGCGATACGAGCCAAGTGAACTATAGGGGAAGCTAAATTTGGGCACTTGACATTTTTACAGCTTAATACTTAATTGTTTCATGTGCCAGCTGCTTTACAAAAAAATTGTTGGCACGCAGATAATTTATTTCAAAGCATGTTGTAACACAAATAGTTCCTAAAATTTAGAAACTTGTTTGCATATAAGCCGAACAAGAGATTCACACACTGCTATTCATTCTTTTATTTATTTTATATCCTGCTCAAGGCACCTAACAGAACAGGAACTGTACCATGGAATTGTATCGTATCCAGTAGGTCCTGGTTGTGACAAATATTATGAGTAAATGCCAGTCAATCTAACTACCATATTAGAAAAATTGATAGTTGACATTTGGTCTTTCTTCTGCAATATGCAACTGATATGTAAGTCCACAAGTCTTAAAGCTGTTAAGTTTGAACACCCCTGGGTTTTTTTTGTCTAAAGGGTTAGGGGTGCAAGGGTCTTGCAACTTGACAGATTTAAGACTTGCGTGCTTCAAATGCCAGAATTTCTGAGCCAACATTTTGGTTGATAAGCAAGAGCGTTGTTAAGTGAGTTTCACCACATTTTACAAGTTGGCCACGCCCAC